GTAACTTCTTTTTATTAATCTACATTCCAAGTCAACTTATTAAAACACAAAGTAAAAGAACTATTTTCTAGAATAACAAAAAGAACTAATATTTTTTTTAAAATCTTGGTCTTGCATTTTTTTATTATTCATAAAATGGTAGATAAAAAATAATCACTAGTACAGAATATACATTTTACGTCGGTTATTTTAGGGTTTTACGTCGTAAAAACCTCCGACGTCGATGCGGGAGACGTAAATTTACATCGATTGCGAAAACCGACGTAAATTTACGTCAGACATGCCAAGGTCTGTCGTAAAAAGTCGTAAAAAAATTAAAAAAAAAAAGAAAAACGAGTGCAAGCAGAACAGGCCGTTCTGGTTGGAGAACAGCTCGTTGTCCAAGCAGCACGGCCCGTTCTGCATGGAGAACAGGCCTTTCTCCAAGCAGAACGATCCGTTCTTCTTGATAGAACCAGGAGTGGGTTCTCCAAACCCGGACTTGGCCACTTCTTTCTCCAGCTTCAAAAACTCGAAATGCAACGCAAATATCACCTTCCTATTCCCGTGAACACACTCAGCAGAAGACGCCACCTCATAGAACCTCGCAGAAAAGCCCATGACCAACGCAACGTCCGAAGAAGAAAAACATCATCACGCGAATCAACCTCTTCTCCAACCTTCCTAAGCTCTAGAGGAAGGTGCGGATGAGGAGGTAGAACTTGTCGAGGCGGAGGGCGTTGATGTCGGACCACTCGCTGTGCATGGTGCGGAGGAAGGTGGACGAGGTCGTCGGGGGATTGGCTCCGACTGCGAGGGCAGCCACGATTTGAGGAGGAGGCGGAGGGATTTCTCGCGTGTGGCCTCCATTGCACAACGCGCGGGAGAAGGAAATCCTAGATGAAGTTTTTGAAATCTCCAGCTAGTGTACACCTTCTTTTAACGGGCGGTCATGTGGGTTATTTACGTCGGCCCTGGTAAGGTCCGACGTAAATTTTAACATTTATGCCGGACACAACGCATAGCCGACGTAAATAATTTAACTAAAATTACGAAACATGTCACCGTGTTTTTATTACGTCGAGTTTTTGTATGTCCGACGTAAAATAGGTGACGTAATATACTAATTTTTCACTAGTGAATACTCTCAATACTAGCAAACATGGAGTCAATAACAAGGTGACAATTCTTAAATCAAGTACTATCATCCACTTAGTGATTAGTTAAAACTCGTGTTAAGTTTAACTCAAGACTATACTTACCAAGTTGAGTGTCAATAAAAACCTATTTGAGAAATTTCATTTATAATGTTAAGAAATTTTCTTAAGCATGTATACTTGCCAAAGTAGGATTTTAATAATAGACATGAATCTTTTAGTTTTTAATTCAATTAATTCTTTTATTTGAATCTAATAAAAATACTGAATAAAAAAATGATAAGATAATTTCGAATTATAATTCACTTTGAAAAAATACAATATTTTAAACTTTTTAAAACTATTTTGTATTATATGTTATTCCCCTTAACCATTTCATTTTGATTTATATGGATTTACTATTATTATTGAAAATGGAATTGAATTAAGAATATGCAAAAGCGAATCAGCTAATCGGAAATATTCGAAAGAACTAAAATATAATAAAGCATCATAATATATAATAGTAGAAAAAAGACATTTTATGTGACTCCATAAAATAAATTAGTTATTCTAAGAAAAAGTGAATAATTATTAATTTTAAATAGGAAAATAAGAGGGTTAAGTGATTTTAAAACCCTAGACACGGATTGGGTAGAAGAAATGTGCCACTTATGAAGGAAGGTGGGAGGTTGGGAGTTGGCGCGAATAAAACCGTTCAAAAACCGTATGGAAAACCAAGGGTTGCATAAATAATCGATTATCTATACAAATAATTGATTATTTGTATCAGTAAAATCAGTTTGAAAACCTTGTCTGCACTAAATAATCAATTATTTTTGGAATAATCGATTATTGCAGAGACTCTTGTCTCATTTTTGCTCCTAGATAATCAATTATTTCTAGAATAATTGATTATTCCAGAGACTGACTCTTTCTAACCTTCCCAGATAATCGATTATTTTCATAATAATCGATTATTTGCCTAGTCTTACTTAAAATAATCGATTAAATTTTACAGTAATCGATTATTTCAGAAAAGTTTTGTTTCACTACTTTAAACCTTATAAAACTTTCCTTATCCATTTCAAGTTTTCAACTCTTAAAAACACTCTTTTATAAACCACACTTCAATGTTTTATACACACATCAATCAATTTTTATTCAAACAATCACACTCAAGTGCACATTCATAATCAATTCAAACAAGACTCATTGATAATTCCAAGTTCAATTCTCAATTGATTAAATCTTTCTTTTGGTAGAGGTTTTGTAAATATATCAGCTAATTGTTTATTTGTTTCAACAAACTCTACTACACAATCATTCTTTTGGACATGATCTCTTAAAAAATGATGTCTTATTTCTATATGTTTTGTCCTA